TTGGATGGAATGTTCTGTCGATATCTGCAAAGTCCAGTTGGTCTGAAGTGTTGTTTAGATCTTGTGTTTCTCTGCTGATTCTTTGCCTACATGATCTGTCCAATATTGATAGTTGGGTGTTCAGGTCCCCTGGTATTTTGGTATTAGGGTCTTTCTCATTCTTTAGGTCTAATAGTGTTTGCTTTATAAATCAGGCTGCTCTGATGTTGGGTGCGTATATATTTATGATTGTTATGTCTTCTTGATGGATAAATCCTTTTATTATTATATAGTGGCCTTCTTTATCTCTTTTTATGGTTTTTGGTTTAAAGTCTATTTTATCAGATATAAGAATAGCTGCTCCAGCTTGTTTTTCATTTCTATTTGCATGTAGATCTTTTTCTATCCTTTCACTCCTTAGTGCTTGTGTGTCTGTACAGGTGTGTTGAGTCTCTTGAAGGCAGCATAAAGTTGGGTACACCTTTTTAATCCAGTCAGTCAGTCTGTGTCTTTTGATTGGGGAATTTAATCCTTTTATAGTAAGAGTTGTTATTGAAAGGTGTTGATTTACTCCTATTATTTTGTTGATTTTTGATTGGATGTCTTAAGTATCTTTTGTTCCTTTCTTTCTGGTTTACTGTTTGTCTTGTGTATTTCTTGGTTTCTTTGGGTGGTAGATAAACTTTTTTTCTCTTTATTGTTAGCATTTTTATTTTACTAGTGGGTTTTGTTTTTACTTGAGTTTTTATGGAAGTGATGGTTGTTTTTCAGGTACCGAACCAGTAGTCCCTTGAGAATTTTTTGTAAGGCTGGTCGTGTGGTGGTGAACTCCTGCAGTTTTTGTTTGTCTGAGAAATATACTATTTGTCCTTCATCTTGAAACGATAGCCTTTCTGGGTAAACTTGGCTGGCAATCTGTGTCTTTTAGTATTTTGAATATATCATTCTATTCTTTTCTGGCTTTTAGGGTTTCTGATGAAATGCCTGATGTTAGTCTGATTGAGGCTCCCTTATAGGTAACTTGATGCTTCTTTATTGCAGCCTTTAAGATTCTCTGTCTATGAGTTTTCCAATTGGACTATAACATGTTTTGGAGAGGACGTATTTTGGTTGAATATGTTTGGGAATCTTTGAGCCTCCTGAGTCTGAAGATCTGTGTCTTTCTCTATAGCTGGGAAGTTTTCTGCCATTATTTCATTGAATATATTTTCAATGCCATTTCCTTTTTCCTCCCCTTCTGGAATACCCATGATTTGGATATTTGAGCACTTAACGTTGTCTGTTATCTCTCATAGATTTTCTTCAATGTTTTTATTTCTTTTTTCTTTTTTTTTTGTCCACCTGTGTTATTTCAAATAGTCCATCTTCAAGGTCAGAAATTCTCTCTTCTGCTTGTTCTAGCCTGCTGGTTAAACTCGGTGTTGTGTTTTTTATTTTGTTGAATGAATTCTTCAGTTCTGCAAGCTCTGCTACATTCTTTCTCAGGGTATTGATTTCTTTGTACGTTTCTTTCTCCTGGTCCTGTATAGTTTTTCTCATTTCATTGTGTTGTCTAAATGAGTTTTCTTGTATCTCATTTAGTTTCCTTAGAATTGTTGCTCAAAATTCCTTATCAGTCATTTCAAGGACTTCCTGTTCTATAGGATGTAGAGCTTGAGAGTTATTATTACTTTATGGTTGTGGTTCACTTTCTTGATTTTTCATATTTCTAGTATCTTTCCTTTGGTGTTTAGTCATTGTGAGAGGGGATTTCACGGTCCACTCATTTGACCCTAATGTCTGGGTAGGATCCTGCAGGGACTGCCAGTTTGGCATGGCTGCCTCAGTGCCTGTGGGAAGGAGGCTCTGTGCTGCGGGGACTGGCCTAGGCTGAGAGTCCCGGAGTGGCACCTACCTGTTCCAATGTGGATGGGCCTGGCGGCTTTAGGGCCTCTCTGGGCAACGCGCACTGGCCTGGACTGGGAGTTCTGCAGCAGCTCCTACCTGTTCTGGTGTGGATCCCTTGGGGCATGTGGACCCGGCAGTCTGGGGCCTGTCTGGGTGGTGCTTGGTGGGTTGGGCTGGGAGTACTGGGGCAGTGTCTCAGGTTAAGTACCTTTATCCACGTCACACACATAGTATGTGCGATTTGAAGTCAGCTATTCTAATTCTAGAGCTTTTATTCTTAACTACTCTGTTCAGTTTTCCTTCTTTCTTGGATTACTTGAAACAAGAAATTTGTAGAAGGTTTAGTATTTACGAACCTAGGAATAGTATTTTGAGTTACTACGAGATAATTGTAAATACTTTAAAAATACTTTATTTAAAATGATTGGTTTGTTGTGACTTGACATTTATTTGTTTCTGTAGTCTACATGAAAATGCCCTAAATTTTATCTGAGTAAGTATATAAATGCATATTGAATTAATACTTTCACAAAGTGTATTGAATTGTGAATCTTTGAAAGAATTGATTTGGTATATTTTAAGTAAGTTATGATAGTAATTAATGTAAGACGCTAGTAAATACTGTAGTAAAGGGAACTTGTATTATTTATTTTTGTGTTAATATATGATGAAATAGTACTTTGCCCACATTATATGATGGCATGTAAATAAAAAATCAGTTAATAAATTTCCTGTGCTACTGTTTGATATGGATGGTAAACATCTTCTGATAGTTATCTTTTTGTTGTTTTGGTACTCAAAAGCAAACAAAAAAATTTAAGAACGAAATTGAAATATTTATGCTTAATATAACTGTTTAAATATATATAATTGTTGTGACTACAACATTTCTAGTCTTTTCTAATTAGGTATTTATTACAAATATTATGGACCTTAAGTAGATAGCTGGAATTGTAATATACAACAGGAAGATTTTAGCGACAATCAATTTAGAGACATAGTAAGAGATAAAATTGAAAAAATTTAGTTATTGAATGAAGGATAAGGATGAGAGAGGCATCATAGTTGATTGCTACAATGACCTGGAATGGTGTTTGTGTTAATTTAAGGGGATGCTAGAATGAAAGGATTCCTGATACCTCCATTCTTCTTTTTAAGGATTAATTTTGTAATTCCAGTGGGGGGCTAAAATAGGTTCTTTTTTCTTTAAAGTTATGGGTCTTACACAGAGACTTAGACTAATAAGGTATAAGTTAAGTAACATGTAAACTTTAATGTGAACCAGTGGGGGAAGAAAGCAGGTGAATCCCTATAGAGAGGACAGTTAAAGACATATAAGAAGTCTCTCATCAGTGAAAGTAGGGTTCCTCACACACTGACAACAGAAATGGTTTGTAGTTGTTTTCATAGCTTGCAGATTTCTAAGAAGACCGAGTCCTTTCTCTTCTGATAAGAAGAAGATGACTCTTCTATCAGGAAGAATAGGTAGATGGGGATGGGGCTGGTATAAGCCTTTGGCTGTTCTGGAGAGACTGACAAGTCCTTCCTGTATTAGGATAGCTGGATATTGTCATGATTGTAAATAGAGTAGCCAAACATTCAGGGGGCTAGAGTGGCCAAACACATTGAGGGAGCAGAAGTAAATACCTTGCTGAAAATATATAGCTATAAGAGAGTTGCAGTTTTATATTTCAGAAAAGCCACGAGCATCTAAATTAGAACTGTGTTATATTCAAGTTTCATTATTGAGGGAGGGATACATACATACATATATATATATATATATATATATATATATATATATATATATAGTCTATTAGATTCTATTATTTTAGAAATAATTTAATGTCTGAATGAAGTGTCTTGTTATAAAGTGCTATTTGTTAGGAAGCCTAATAGCCCTTAAAACACCTATAGCAAGGCATTTTCCTTGGTTTTTGAATATCTTGATTGGTAATCAAAGTTCTTCTCATTATCTTCAAAGTAACCCTAGAAATATAATGGTTTTGGCTATGAAAAGTAATGGTTTTTCATGTAAATGGTGTGTTATTTATACCTAATTTCTAATGTAAGTCTATATTAATTATGTATATCATAAAATATATATAAGATTCACTATATTTTATTTGATGTGACATTTAAGTTTTGTGAGCTTATAGATTTTAATTCTGCCTATTGAGCCATCTGGTTAAGAATATATGAATAATAAATTTTATTAATTTTTGTCCATGCTACTGACAGTAAAGAGTGAATTGTACTCCTTTGTGTGAAATGATGGAAATGTATTTTTGTAAAGGTTATTAGAAGATGTAGAAACAGAATTTTTTTGTTTAAATAGGCCTTTGTAGGTTCTAAAGGTAATTAAATGCTGGTAAGCCTTAATTTTTTCTTTTTGTTTGAATAAACCAAATGGCTTAAGAATAAAAAGTTATTGTATGTTATTTATAATAATGGATTTATGTTTTGAAACCGAATTTCTAGTATAAAAAGTGTATATATTAGATAACAAGAAATAGCTGTAGGCAGAGCTAAGAATTTTTTTTATGGAACAGTCTTGATTCCTTTTAGTATATGGGCAGATGAGGGATTGAGGAACTAGGATTCTGTATTGTGGAGCACGGCCGTGGTAATTTTATTGTGGAAAAAGCTCAAAGCAGGTAATACTTATTGTTCGTGTCCTTGGTCATTGTAAAACTCTCAAGGCACCCTGTAATTATAAACAATCGAATTTTCAGTGAAACTTCTAAGATAAATTAGTAATAAAACTCAATTTCCTAAAAAGTTTCCCTTTCCAGGTCAATATAATAGTATTGTATATAGAATTATTGGATATGAACCAATTAGGTTTTGCAAAATAATTTCTAAGAATGACCATTTTGATTTATACAGCAGTTGTTATATTTAAACAGGTAATAGGAATAATAGCTTTTTAATCAATTGCTTTTGTCAGTAATATCTTGCTGTCTGCATAGAGAAAAATACAGATCAGAGGAGTTCTCTGTATCCAGCTGATTGAGAATTGGTTTTAAGGCATTATGCTATAAGCTAAAAAGATGAGAGAAGAGTAATATCAATATATATACTTGGTATATTTGATTGCTTAAAATATTAATATAAAATTTAACTTCTCATAGGTTCTGCAATTCAGCAAGACTTTTCTTTAGGGAAGAGTGAAGAATTGGGAACAGTCCAGGAGAAGTCTTCCAAAAGCCTTGTTATAGGTCCTCTTGATTTTCGCTTGGATAGCAGCGCAGTGCATAGGATTTTGAAAATGTTTGTTTGTGCCTTGGAACATGAATATGAACCATATTGTGGGATAAAATCAGGTTGGTTTTTTTGGCTGAATTCTGAATCTGTGGGAAGTTGATCTGAATGACTATATAGTTCAATCTATCCTACTTTGCTATCTTTTCTGTTTTAGTGTATTTTTGCCCTTCTGCAAGGACTTTTATGTATTCAGTTGTTATCTTAAATTCTTTAAACTTGTGTGTGGAAGTTATAGGAGAGGTCAGGATTCGAAAATGATTTGCATAAATACTTTATTTGCTAATGTTTGTCACACCTTTTTGATACTCTTTCAGGTGTATATCTGTTAAATATGACTCTCTTTTCACATTTATGGATTCAAAGGAGCTAGATATGAAGATGGGTTCTAAACATGCAATCTTTTAAAGTTGTTATACTGTATTACTTATTTTTATTTGTATTATTTTTTATTGTTATATTGTTATTTTTTATTGTTTCTTTGACACAGAAGAGTGGTACGTATTTATGGGGTAAAGTGTAATGTTCTGATATTTATATATGTTCTATAAAAATCAAATCAGGGTATATAGCACAAGCATCACCTCCTACATCTATCATTTGTTTGTAGTGAGAACTCTAAAAATCCTCTCTTCTAACTATTTTGAAATATACAATATATTATTTTTAACCATAATCACCCCGCCATGCAGTAGAACACCAGCACTTATTCCTCCAATCAAACTGTAATTTTGTTCCTGATGAACAATCTCTTCCTCCTCCCCTCCCTATTTTCCTTAGCATCTTGTAACCACTATTCTATTCTGTATTTCTATGAGATCAACTTCTTTAGGTTCCACATGAGTGAGACCATGCAGTATTTGTATTTCTGTGCCTGGCTAATTTCACTTAATATAGTATCCTCCAGCTCATCCATGTTGCCGAGAATGACAGGATTTCATACTTTTTTGATGGCTGAATCGTATTCCATTTTCTGTATATACCACATTTTCTTCATCTATTCATCTTTTGATGGATACTTAAGTTGATCCACATACTGGCTATTGTGAATAGTGCTGCAATAATCATGGGGGTGCAGATATCTCTTTGACATGCTGATTTCATTTACTTTGGATATATATACCTAGTAGTGGAATTGCTGGGTGATATGGTGGTTCTATTTGTAGTTTTTTGAGGAACTGCCATACTGTTTCCTGTAATGGCTGTTTTAATTTACATTCCCATCAACAGTGTGTAAGAAGAATTCCTATTTCTCCACATCCACACCAGCGTTTGTTATTCTTGGTCTTTTTGATAATGTCCATTCTTTTTTTTTTTTTTCCTTTTTGTCTTTTTTTTTACTGACTGGTAACGGGATCTCAACCCTCGGTGTCACGCCCGTACTGGGGACCGGCAACGGGATTGCAACCCTTGGTGTTGCGCCCGCACTGCGCTCAGCCAGTGAGCGGGAACCGGTCTCCACATGGGATCCGAACCCTCGGCGGGAGCGCCGCCATGCTCCCAAGCAGCGCACTCTCCAGTGCACCATCGGGCCGGCCCGATAATGTCCATTCTAACTGGTGTAAGGTGATATCCCATGGTGGTTTTGATTTGTATATCCTTAATGATTAGTGATATTGAGCCCTTCTTCATGTACTTGTTGGCCATTCGTATGTCTTCTTTTGAGAAATATCTGTTCAGGACTTTCGCCTTTATTTTAATCTGATTATTTATTTATTTATTTGCTACTGAGTTTGAATATTTTATATATGAGGGTACTTGAAAAAGTTTGTGGAAAAATAGGTTGAAAGATAATACGAATATTTTCATGAACTTTTTGAAGTACCCTCGTATATTTATTCTTTATTTGAAGCAGTTTATCATCTCAAATGTGATGTATATAAAATAACTGCTAGCTGACTTTAGTTCAATGTACAGGCAGTCCTCACTTTGCATGGTGGTTTGTGACTATTAAAATGACCATGCAAATTGATCTCAATAATCAATGGGAAAAATTAGAATTGTTCTACAATTTTTAGAAATTGTCAAAATATTTAAAACTCTGTTTATATAAATGTGTGTAGAAATGAAAAAAACAGGGGCCGGCCCGGTGGCGCACTGCTACAGTGCGCCGCTTGGGAGTGTGGTGGCGCTCCCGCCGAGGGTTCGGATCCCACATACAGACCGGCCACTCACTGGCTGAGCGAGGTGCGGGAGCAACACCGAGGGTTGCGATCCCATTGCCGGTCCCGGTCTGGTACGGGCGCAACACTGAGGGTTGCGATCCGTTGCCGGTCACGAAAAAAGACAAAAAGGAAAAAGAAAAAAAAAGAAATGAAAAAAACAGTAAAAGGAATAGTAAAAAATTACTGAAGTGTTTTATTTCTTTGAAAAAACTTTTTAAGAGTTGTTAGAAAGTTTTTATCTCCTTGTATAACCTCTGTAATGGAGTGTCTTTCCTGTACCTTGGCAAATTGTCATACTCCTTTCTAAGTTTGGATAAGATTCCAACGTTTTATCCTGTACACTCTACTTTACATGTTTGTTAACACTTATTCTCAGTCTTTCTCATTTTAGCCATTCCAGTGCATGTGTAGTGCTATCATATTGTGACTTTATTTGCAGTTATCTGATGCCTAATGATGTTGACCAACTTTTGATATTTTTGGCCATTTGGATATATTACCCTTTGCTTATTTAAGTCTTTTTTGCTTATTTATCTATTAAATTATTTGTCTGTTTTTAAGTGATTTTTAAGGAGGTTGTCAGTTTTTTTTTAATATGCTGTGGATACAAGTCCTTTGTGGAGATATCTGTCTCTGTGTGTGTGTGTGTATGTATGTATATATGTATGTATCTATGGCAGATATTTTCTCCCAGCATGCATCTTGCTTTTTCATTATCTCAATTATATTTTGGTGACCAGAAGCTGTTATTTTTTAAAGAAAGAAATTGGGAATTTCTTAAAGATTAAAAAAAAAAAAGTATATTTTTATACAGCAAAAATTTATACATTTACATTTGAGAGTAATGTGTTTTATATGTGTTAAAGGTAACTTATTATCTTACAACTGCTTCATGGTTGAAAAGAAAACAGAATTTGACCTTAAAATTTAGGGAACTAATTGATTAATTTTTCAGTTGTTTAAGAAAATTATTTACAAACATTTTTCATTAAATTTTTATCATTTTCATTTTAGATATAAAGGATGAAAATGAAATAATACTGAATCCTGAAGAAGTGACTTCTCTGGAGGAATATATTCCTACTCGACATACAAGTGTTACTCTCCTCAAATTTACCTGCACAATTTCCATGGCTGAGTTCAATTTGCTGGACCATTTGCTACCTGTTATTATGGGAGAAAAGGTATATTTTGCAATTTGTTACTCCCCTCGCTCCTTGTGTGTGTTTTTTGGTCATTAAATAAAACAGTATTTGCTTATGTAGTTGTCCATGATAAAGTAAAAGCAACATAACTATGATTGTTAATTCTTAGAAAGTAGTTTTAAATATATATTTTAATAAAATTAAGTTAAGGCTATATAAAGAAAGTTGAAGAGCATGGGCCTAGAAGTCAGACTGTATACTAGCTATGATACCTGAGAGATTGCTTTTTATCTCTAAGCCTTGTTTTTCTTTTTTGAAAAATAAAAGAAAGTGGTGATTAAGAGATCATCTGGAGAAAATTTCATTGGAGAAAATTAAAATGTCAATATTTTCTATCATTTCCATTTTTGCTATTTAACTTTTTTAAATCTTTTTTTTTAGAGCAGTTTTTGGTTCACATTAAAACTGAGTGGAAGATGCAGAGATTTCCCATATACTCCTTGCCCCCACACATACATAGCCTCCCCCCATTGTCAGCATCCTCTGCCAAAGTGGTACATTTGTTATAATTGATTAACTCACACTGGCACATCATTATCACCCAAAGTCCATAGTTAACATTAGGGTTCACTCTTGGTGTTTTACATTCTACGTGTTTTAACAAACGTATAAAAACGTGTATCTACAATAACGGTATCACACAGTGTAGTTTCTGTGCCCTAAAAATCCTCTGTACTCCACGTGTTCATCTCTCCTTCCCCCTAACCCTGGGTAGCCACTGATCTTTTTACTGTCTCCATAGTTGTGCCATGTTCAGAGTATCATATTGTTGGAACAGTATGTAGCCTTTTCAAATTGGCGTCTTTCACTTAAATATGCATTTAAGTTTCCCCCATGACTTCTCATGGCTTGATAGCACATTTCTTTTTAGCGCTGAGTGATATTCCATTTTCTGGATATATCACAGTTTCTCCATTTACCTGCTGAAGGACAGACATCTTGGTTGCTTCCAAGTTTTGGTAATTATGAATAAAGCCGCTATAAAATATCTGTGTGCAGGCTTTGTGTGGATATAAGTTTTCACCTCCTTTGGGTAAATACCAAGGAGCATGCTTGCTGGATTGTATGGTAAGAGGATGTGTAGTTTTGTAAGAAACTGCCAAACTGTCTTCTGTATGGTTTTGCATTCCTACCAGCAGTGGATGACTGTTTCTCTTGCTCCACATCCCTGCCAGCATTTGGTGGTGGTGTTGTTTTGGATTTTCACTGTCTAGTAGGTGTGTAATGGTATCTGTTTTTAAAATTTTTGTTTCCCTGATGACATATGATGTGGAGCATATGTTCATATGCTTATTTAACATCTGTATATCTTCTTTGGTGAAGTGTCTCTTTAGATCTGTTGCCCATTTTTAATATGGTTGTTTTCTTAATATTGAATTTTTAAGAGTTCCTTGTATATTTTGGGTAACAGTCCTTTGTCAGAAATGTCTTTTGCCAGTATTTTCCCACAGTCTGTAGCTTGTCTTCTCATTCTCTTGACAGTGTCTTTCACAGAGCAGAAAATTTTAATTTTAATGAAGTCCAGCATATCAATTCTTTGTGCTTTTGGTGTTGTATCTAAAAGTCATCAATATAGCCATGGTCATCACCTTGTGTCTTTTATGGAATTGGTCACATTAAAATTGAGTGTAAGGTACAGAGATTTCCCATATACTCCTTGCCCCCACACATACATAGCTAGGTTATCACATTTCATCTAGGTTATCAAATTTATGGACATAAAGTTGTTTATAGTATTCTTTTATTATCCTTTTCATGTCAATGGGATTTATAGTGATGGCTCTTTTTCATTTCTGATATTAGTAATTTGTGTCCTCTTTCCTTTTTTCCCAATTAGCCCAGCTAGAGACTTATTGATTTTTACTGATCATTTCAAAGGACCAGCTTTTGGTTTCATTGGTTTTCTCTATTGATTTCTTGTTTTCAATTTCATCGATTTTTGTTCTACTTTTTATTATTTCTTCTGCTTACATTGGAATTAATTTGCTTTTCTTTTTCTAGTTTCCTAAGATGGTAGCTTGGGTGATTGATTTTAGATTTTCTTCTTTTCTAACATGTATACTCACTTAATGCTATAAATTTCCCTCTAAGCTTCACTGTTGCTGCATCCCACAAATTTTGATTAGTTGTGTTTTCATTTTCATTTGATTGAAAGTATATTTAATTTTTCTTGTGATTTTTTTCTTTGACCCATGTGTTATTTAGAAATATGTTGTTTAATTTCCACATATTTTGAAATTTTCCAGTTATGTTTCTCTTATTAATTTCTAGTTGAATTCCGTGGAAGTCTGAGAGCAGACATTGTATGATTTGTGTTCTTTGAAATTTGTTAAGGTGTGTTCTATGGCCCAGAATGTGATCTATCTTGGTGAATATTGCATGTAAGTTTGAGAAGAATGTGTAGTTTTCTGTGACTGAATGAAGTAGTTCCTTGATGTCCATCATATCCAGTTCATTGCTGGTGTTGTTTAGTTCAATTATGTCCTTACTAATTTTCTCTCTGGTAGATCTGTTCATATATGAAAGAAGGATGTTGAAGTCTCCAAATGTTATAGGGGATTTATCTGTTTTTTCCTTGGAGTTATATTAGTTTTTGCTACATATATTCTGTCGCTTTGTCTTTAGGCATATACATATTAAGGATTGTTATTTCCTCCTGCAAAATTTACCCCTTTATCATTAGTTAACTCTCTTCTTTTTGGGGGGGTGGCTGGCCGATACAGGGATCTGAACCCTTGACCTTGGTGTTAGTAGGCCATGCGCTAACCAACTGAGCTAGCTGGCCAGCCTTAATTCCCTCGTTATCCCTGATAAATTTCTATGGTCTGAAGTCTGTTCTGTCTGAACTTAATGTGACTGTTCTTGCTCTATTTTGATTACTGTTAGCATAGTATATCATTCTCCATCCATTTATTTTTAATGTGTATGTATCTTTATATTTACAGTGGGTTTCTTATAGACAACAGATTCACTCTGACAGTCTGTCTTTTGGTTGGTGCATTTAGATCATTATGTTTGAAATGATTATTTATATGCTTGGGTTAATATCTACTGTATTTGTTAGTGTTTTCCATTGTTGCTCTTGTTCTTTGTTCCTGTTCTGTCTCCCACTCTTTTTCTGCCTTTGCCTTTTGTGGTTTTAATTGGACATTTTATATGACTGTATTTTCCATTATCTCTCTTCTATTAGTATACGTAGTACAACTTTTTTTTTACTCTCTTTAGTTTTTCCCTTAGAATTTGCATTATGCATTTATAACTAATCCTAGTTCATTTTCAAATAACACTTATACTACTTCACAGGTAGTGCAAGTTCCTTATAATAAAATAATACAAATTCCGCCCTCCTGTCTCTTGTATCATTTCTGTAACTCATTTTACTTACATATAAGCATACGTAAGCCTACACATATGCCCCCACACACACACTCACACACACAAGCATACATAATTGAATACATTATTACTTTTATTATTTTGAACAAGCCATTAGTGTGTTAGAGCAATTAAAAATACGAAATATTTTTATTTTACCTTCACTTACTTACTTCTCTGATGCTCTTTCTTTATTTAGGTGTGAGTTTCTGACCTTTACCATTTTCCTTCTCGTTGAAGAATTTCTTTTAACAATTCATATAAAGCAGGTTTACTGACAACATATTCCCTCAATTTTTGGTTGTTTGAGAAATGCTTTTTTTTTCTCCTTCACTTTTAAAGGATAATTTTGTGGGGAATTCTAGGTTGGTGGTTTTTTTCTCTCAACACTTTAAATATTTCGTTCCACTGTTCTTTTACTTTTATAATTCATTTCTTTGTTCCCTCATTAAGGAACAGGAAAATTGACTCTTTTGTTAAGGTACAGTAGTTTCTTAAGATGGAATCTACTCCTGCTGAAGATGCTGTGATCATTACTAAAATAACAACGAAGGATTTAGAATATTACATAAACTTAGTTGATACAGCAGTGGCAGGGTTTGAGAGGATTGATTCTAATTTTGACAGAAGTTCTACTGTAGATAAAATAGTATCAAACAGCTTTGCATGCTGCAGAGAAATCTTTTGTGAAAGGATGAGTCAATCAGTGTGGCAGGCTTTATTGTTGTCTTATTTTAAGAAATTGTCACAGCCACCCCAGCCTTCAGCAACCACCAGCCTGATCAGTCAGCAGCCATCAACATCGAGGCAAGACCCACCAGCAGCAAAAAGATTACTATTTGCTGAAGGCTCAGATGATTATTAGCATTTTGTAGCAATAATGTATTTTTAATTAAGATACATACTTTTTTAGACATAATACTTCTGCACACTTAGATTGCAGTATAGTGTAAACATTATGACTCACTTTATTGTGATATTTGCTTTATTGTGGTGGTCTGGAGGTGAACCTGCAGTACCTCTGAGGTATGCCTGTATTTTGTTGTTGTTTTTTATTTTTTCAGTTTACTTTACAGTTTTGGCAGTTTCTCTTGAGATATATTCTCAAGGTCAGAATTTCTTTCCCCAGCCATCTGTGGTCTTCCAGTAATCCCATCAAAGGGAAAAATGCCAGTGAGGAGGAGTCACTGAGAAGGCAGCCCCCAAATCTGTATAAAATTCCCTTCAGACTGTTGGCTAACTCTTAAGCTTCTCGTGTGCAACAGAAGGCTTCAGGAAACAGGAAAACAACAGCTAAAGAGCAGAATACATTTGACCATTGAACAAGATGGGGTTGGGGCACAAAGCCAAGCCCAGTTGAAATCTGAAAATTCAAGTACAAGTCCTCCCTTGCATTACTTAAGTAAAGTAACTTAAATAGGTAAGTGAGTTAAATAAGTAGTTAAGTACTTAGGAACCCCCTCTATATATGCAGGTTCCACATTCCATGAATACTGTATTTTTGTCCTTTTTTTTTTGAGACCGGCCGCACCACGCTCAGCCAGTGAGCACACCGGCCATCCCTATATAGGATCCGAACCCGCGGTGGGAGAGCTGCTGCGCTCCCAGCGCCGCACTCTCCCTGAGTGCGCCACGGGCTCGGCCCAATACTGTATTTTTGATCTGTGGTTCGTTTAGTCAGCTGAAGTGCCACCCATGGTTGTGGAGGGCCAACCGTATTTAATAAAAAAAAGTCCATGTATAAGTGGACCCACACAATTCAAACCCATGTTGTTTAAGGGTCAGCTGTAGAAATTGCACTATCTGCATGATGCTGATAGTATCAACAATTAGAGTCCAAGCCCTGCCAAGTTTTCTCCTAGGGCTTTCCTTTGAGTCCATATAAGGGCCACACCCTAGGAGTTAAGTACAAAGTGGAATAAATTAGTCCTAAAAGAGCCTAATTCCAGTCCTGGACAGGATCATGGTGATCTTCTTGTAATCTGCCCCCTCATCAAAGAATAGTTAACTCACTTTCACTCAGAGGAAGATAATATTTTAAAGAGCCTTTACAATTTTTTATCTATGATGTCAGTTGCCTAATAGAAAATTATGAATTATATTGAAAAATAGAACTAATTGAATTGAACATAAATAAAAAATTAATAGTAGAAGTAGACTTAGAGGTGATTAGGATATTGGAGTTATTACACCTGGGCTTTAAAATAACTATGATTAATAAGTTCAAGAAAAAAGACAAAAAGGTGGAAGGTTTCATAAGGGACCTCAATCCATAATAAATTAAATTTTAGAACTGGAAAATATAAGGACAGAGGTTAGAAGTAAAAAGATGGGAAAAGTATACTATTAATATACTTATCAAAAGAAAGATAGTGTGGCTATTTTAATGCCAGAAAAAATAGATTTTAAGGTAAGATGTATTAGAAATAAAGAGAGCACTTCATAATGATAAAATTATCTACTCAAAGAATGAACAACATTCTCACAGATGATATGTTGTGTTCAAGATTTATATGAAGTTCAAAAGAGACATACTAATCTATGGTCTGAAGTGAGAATATTGGCTGCCTCTGGTGGGGATTCTGAATTGTCTAGAAAGGAACATGGGACAGCCTTCTAGGGTGCTTCAAATGGATGGTGGTTACAGGTATAAAAATTCATTGAGTTCTATACTTCAGATTTGTGTGGTTCTTCAGATCTGTAGGTTCTTTCTCAGTAATCCAAAATATAGTTACAAAAAGCAAAGTAATTGCTGAATAAATGTTGGTTTTAAAATAACTAATAAGTCAAAAGGCAGGATTGTATGTTTAACTTAGTCAACCTTAGACACAGTGTTTCTCAGTAATGGCTCTGTTGGCTTTTTGGATTGAAGAAGTATTATGTAGCATTTACCATCTTTTGGCCAGTGCCTGCTAAATGCCAATATTATTGTGACAATGAAAGACAGAACAAAACAATTAAACTGCTCTTCTCACATATTTTTGTATTCCTCTGGATGGAAGGTTGTGGTGTTCCTTATTGAGAACCCTAGGTAGGGCATTTTAAGGGAATGACTTAATTCTAGGATAGGAAGGGTTTAATTGCCAGTAAGCGTACATACTCTGGACATATTGAAACTTACCAGAATTTATTTGGAAGCTCAGAAATATGTTGTGACACTGAGAATACCAAGCCCTCTTCAAGATTCTTAAGACTTTTTGAGCCTCTAACATGTGTATTGTTAGTAGATATGATATGGCTCAGAAATTTTTTCTTCCTGCAAACTTTGCTTATTGTGAGTGTCTTTAATACTTTGTGTTATAGCCAATTTAGTCGCTAGTTATCCAAATGTGAATAAAGGGAAGGAAAGAAATCTGGCTCTTCAATATCTAAAAAATTTTTTGGAATGATTGAGCTCAAGAAAATACCTTTATCATACTGAGACATGTGGTCATACTATTCCAGCCGATTGAAAAAGTAAAAAGATTTAACTAAAAGAGCAAAAAGAGCAATGATAATTTTGCAAAAAATATTTATTCTTTGAATCTGGGATATACTTAAATATACAGAAGACCTTTGTATTTGGTTATGAAAAGAGAGCTCTTTAGAAAGGCATCATTTTTAGATTGATTGGATATCAGTGCCAAATATTTAGGTCTGAAGCTTGTATAGAGGGAATTGCACATCAATTGCTGCTCTACTCCTGAAATATAAAGTGAATACTATTATTTTCCAGAACTCAAGTAACTTCATGAATACTACAAACTTCCAGTCTCTTCGGCCTTTGCCATCTATACAGATATTGGTGGATAAAATTAATCTGGAGCATTCCATGCCAATGTATGCTGAACATTTGGTGCAGGTGGTTAGCAGCCTTACTCAGCCTTCTGATAATCTGCTTCATTATTGCTATGTACACTGCTACCTTAAGGTATGAAAAGTGCATTTTCTTGTTTATCTGTTGTCTGTCTGGCTTTGGAGTGTCAAATAGGTTTATTTTTTCTTGGAGTTGTAATTTCACAGAATTAGTACTCCATAAGGTAAGATTTAAATAAGATAGAAGATTAATTTATTCATTATTCCAATATAATTAAAATAAGTAAAGTAAAAGTATATGTAAAGATTTTTCTTCAATTATTTGGGATTAGTAGCTTGATATTTGTAAGTTAATGGTAATTATAACTTGAAGATTTAATATGTCATTGATGATGATGATTTTTGTAAGCAGTATTAAAGAGTACTTAGTTTAACGTGGACGCTTTAAAAGACTCATGATTTCTTTGAAGCAAAGATTTATGTGAGGCATAATGAAGAGGGTTTAATGTATTTGTTTTTTAGTCACCTTCCTCTTATTGAATTCATGTTCAGTTTTTGATGTGAAGAGAAAATCTTGAAAATTAAGTATGGTTATATAAAGTGAATTATTGCAAGCTTTGCTCAGCTCTTTCATTTTTCTAAATAATTAGTAATGCATCCCAGTATAGGTACATACAAATAATAAAGTCAGATGTTGAGTTATAAATGTTTTTGCAAATCGAAGGGACATAATAGTCTAAGTAGAGGCAGCACATACCTAATCAAATTCTGTTTTATGAACAAAAGGAAACCGTAAAAAGTTGAATTCAAGAATAAGTACTAAAAAACCACTGAATTTCATGTAAGGTACTAAAAGATTAAAGGACTCCATAAGTAGACTCCTGATTATTGGTTCATGCTTTATAGTTTGTTTTTTTGAAGTTCTCAAATATTCGTATATTTAAATAATAAAAAGAAACAATGTAAATATACCAGCTTTATGTCATCAGCAGGTATATATAAGTTTAAGATGTTAAAATTTGACTATTTTCAAACTGTGTAGAATAGAAATGCATATTTTCCTAGATGTCCTTGTGAAGCTCTTTTTCAAAAAGGTGGTTCCTTTTATATATACTTGATCTTTTTTATTCATTACTGCTATTAATACATAGAGCTTTATAATTTTTTAAAAGATTAGTACATCTTGAGTGTAAGAATGTTAAGAATATTTGCCTTGTTTACTTGAAGTAGGTCTAATTTTAGGCATTTCACTAATCTTTCTAAGGTATTCTGCTTATGTAGGACTAATTCATTTGATAAATAATAAGTGCTTTCCATATGTATTAGTCCGTTTCTGTTGTTTATAGCAAAATACCTGTAACTGGGTAATTTAGAAAGAAAACAAAATTTATTGCTTACAGTTTCCGAGGCTGGTAAGTCCAGGGAACACATCTGGTGAGAGCCTTGGTGGTGGTGACAGGGATGGCAGGGTTTCACATTGCGAAAATAGTGGAGCAGAGGGAGCAAAAGGACGACTTCCTCATTCACTCTCCAAAGCCCTCCAAACTGCACTTATGACCACCATTTTTAATTCATTCACTACAGCATGGTTTTACAATCTAATCACCTCTTCAAGGCCCCACCTTTTAATTACCATAATAGGATTTACCAGCCTCAACAGTTACAGTGGGGATTAAGCTTCTAATATATGAAACTTGGGGACACAATTCAAGCTTCATTGAGTTTTGGGGAGGGCATAATTCTATCCACTACACCATATTGCACACATTCAGCATTAAAGATAAGGCATGTTCCCATCCTTAAGGAATATGGTCACTAAAGTCATTGGTCACCAATATAGTCACCATCCATGTTGACATAAAAGTTGTTGAAATAGTTATTCACTACTTTCTGTTTGTCAATATGTTAAAACTCACATTTAAAAATTTTTAGTGTTAATGTCAAAGATAGATGCGGTGTAGTCCTGATACAGTTACCTTTTGGGAAAAGGTTTTACCAGATATGCTGTCTAGTTATCTTTTATATCTTTTATAGTTTGGTTATTTTCCATTTGTATTTCTTTTTTTTGGGAGAAATCTCTATTTAAATCTTTGCCTGTTTAAAAATCAAGTTTCTATTTTATTCTTGATTTGCAATCATTCTTCATGTATTCTGAAAGATCTTATTTCTTGAACAGTGTAGGTGACAGCATGACAGTATTCATATTTTTAAAATTCTGAGTGGTGGAAAAATTATTGATTATTATTTATAGTTTTACTCAGTTAAATTGTTGGTGGAAAAAATCAAGAGAAAATACTTCTTAATTTCTCCCTATATGAAGAAAACATAAGTATCTGTTTTAGTCCAGAATTTTCTTTGGTTTCAGGGATGTGTGAACAGAAATTAGACTGTGCGAGTTTAAAAAGTGTGTATGTAATGAAAAAATTGTAGCAGACTCTAGACAACTCATTCAAGATATTTGCTGATGAAAAGAGGCAAATGTAATTTTACTGATGGTCAAAGGGGAGGTAGTGGTGAGAAAGATTGTTTTTCTTTAAGAATAAGTGGAAAATCAACCATTTCTTTTTAGGAGAGAGGAAGGAGGAAATGGAAGGAGGGAGGAAGACCGGATGAAATTGTGAGCTAATAGATGAGCTAAATTAAATGAAGCATCATATTGCTGTCCCAGCAATATGTAATTTTGAAGATGTCCCTAATCCTTTTTGGGCTTTATTTTTCCCATGTGGAAAATGAGATGATTGAGTTAAATAATCTCTAAGCAGCTTTAGCTCTAAAATTCTGTGGTTAGTTCTGGTTCCTTCCTTTTCCCCTGAAAGTTTTTCTTTGTAATGTGTTCATTATTATGCTGTGCAATTCTAGTTATAATCATTCTTCTGTTTTCATGTGTATAAATTTATTATTGTGTACAGATGAACATTTGACATGAAGGTAAATGCTTGATTGTGCTTTTAATGAAGGGATAAATCTTTAGAATGCTTGTTGTACTATTATCCGATGTGTCTTATAAGGGCAACAGCATAAAAAGTATTTGTTTTATATCACAGGTGTTTTTATTGTCATTTACAGTTAGTGTGTGCTTTTTCTATTTTTGTCTTTTAAAAGACTGCAAACCCTAATTTATCATATTAATTTTTGTTAAAAACTTATTGAAGTTTTTTAAATGTTGTTTCTAAATCTATTACAATTTCTTCTATTTGACATGTTAATTAAAGAACATTTGTTGCAAAATTTTAAAATATTGATGATGTATTTATTTTCATTATTTGCTAATTTTTTTTAAAGATGGTACTATGTGTTTACTTTTAATGTGATATGTAAGTACTCTTATTCAAGTTTACAGTTTCTTCACCTAAAACTTCTGTTTGGGATTACACTTACTGCTTCATACATTTTTTATTGTTTCAGACTATTAGTTTGCGATATTCAGCACTTTTATTCCATTTCTGAATATGCAGACAATACTTTGTGAAAGCAACTTCAGTTCACATTGTGCTGTTCCTCCTTTTTCCAGTTTAAGTATTTATAATTTTGTTCAAGGGGTGTTGACAAATTACTAGGTTGTATAGGTATTGTAAATCTGTGTATCTAATTGATATAATCTAGAAGAGAGAGTTAAAAATTTGTTACTTTGAAACAGTTCTTTTTGATGTGGTAGATAATAGGAAGCATTATGTGACACTTTAAATATAATAGTAATGTGACTATATATAGGGGATAATTTCCTTGTTTAATAGTCTTGCTTTCATTACAATTTTAACCTGCTTGAATGTTTTCTTACGAGCATCTGTGGACAACATGTAAATATAATAAAAGCTTTAAAAATTGCAGAATAATTCGCAGTTTCTCCAAAGCAGTTTGCAATTCTGCAGACAACCAGCAGGGGAATCTCCTCTACACCCAGTTTTCATCTGAGTATAGTTAATGATAATGTGTGTGATTATACTGTTGGAGCATTTAATAGAAAATTAGAAAGTGATTTTGAGAGAGTTCTTATTTGAATATAGATAATATGATGTGATAAAAGTATCACCCTTTGCATAATTCCAGAAATATTTGAAGGTTGGGCATTGTTTTAATAATTATGTTTTGCATTGTAATATTAATAATTGTAAATTTCAGAATCCTTTAAATACTGGGTCTTTAAGAGGAAATATGAAATCCTGTAATTGTACAGTGCCTAGCACAGTTCCTTGCATACAGTGTTGCTCATATCAGGTCTTCCAAAGCAATGAATATGAAATACTTAATTTTTATGTTATGATTTTAAGTAATTACTTCAGTATTAAAACCATGGCTTTTTTTTTTTTCACAATTCTGTATTTCTTGCCAAATGTTTTATAGCAGGACCTAGAGGAATTAATAGGTACATCACTTTCATTTTCCTTGATAGTAATTAGATAGATACATCTTTTGAAATGCAGTTTTTTCTGAAAATGTAGTCCTTAATAATGTCTTATTTCCAAAACGTTATTTTGTTCATGAAAATTGAATTTACGAGAAAGAATTTAACATCACCAGTTTGATGAATGTTAGGGGCGTAATAGCTTTTTGAAACCATTTGGAAATTTAATACTTTTAAGAAATACTTTTCAAGAAATACTTCATACTTTTAAGAAATACTTTTCAAGAAATTAATCGTTACTTTATGCTAATTAAATAAAATGTTTTGGTTTGAAAGTTTATTTTGAAGAAATTTTAAACATATTTCAGTGTAGAACTTAACAGTTAATATTAATTAATCCTAGAGATATTGAAGCCAATAAAATAAAATATTTTGGTTGAAAGTTTGTTATGAAGAAATTTAAAACATATTTCAGTGTAGAACTTAGCAGTTAATATTAATTAATCTTAGAGATATGGAAATCAATGCTTCATACACCCAGAGAATCAAAAATAATAACTAAAGGTAAATGTTAATGGTAAGCTACTTTTGCATTTTATTGGCAAACAATAACTTTTTGTTTTGTATCTCTGTGTGTCAGCATTTCCAATGTGAGATACTTATTTTTTATTGTACCGGAAATAATTGCCGCAGAAATATTATCAGTTCTCTTTGGTGATTCATGTAAAATGTGATGTTATATTGTTTCTTTTAATAAGATAAATATAGTGTCTAGGAATTTCAGAGGTTACTTACAAAAAATTTTTAGTGTAATCTGCTCATTTTAAGAGTAAACATATGAAGAGTAATTTATGCCATTTATCATATTTCCTGGGGTTAGAACATCAACTCTACAATCATTTTCACAAAAGAGAGGGGAAAAAGATAACATTTTAGGGTATTTTTGGATGTACTTTTTGTGTGTGCATAGTGCAACTTTAAGAAAGGATATATTGAAAAAAAATTTTTAATTGACATATAATTCAAAATACATTTTAATATTGTTCTTATAGTTGATCTTTTAGTCATAAAATATTAACACTAATTTATTAAATTTCTAATTTACAATGTGGAAAATGTAGTCACCTGTTTATATTTATAGAAAAATATGTAGATTTTAGCAGTCAATGAAATACTACATAAGGGTTATGTGTAGAAATAAAATGTAAAATTTAAAAAAATTAGCCAAAAAAGAGCAGTGATCTTTTAGGGATTTGAAAGAAATACTGTATATTTAAATCTCTTAATTTTGACTTAAGTCAAGTTGAGTAAAAGAAAATGTTGATCATTTGGGAAATGGAAAAAGACATTGGAATGTATTTAGTGTGCAGCTGTTATACAGTAAATTGAGACTGACGTATTTCATTCTGTGCTTATTAAAACTTTGTCTCTGTGAACATTTGAATCTTTTCTTCTTGTTTCAGATATTTGGTTTCCAGGCAGGACTGACATCTTTGGATTGTAGTGGATCTTACTGCTTACCTGTACCGATTATTCCCTCTTTCAGCACTGCTCTTTATGGTAAACTTCTGAAACTCCCCACATGCTGGTAAGTATTCTCTCTTATTTTAAGGATATGTAGGCCTTACTATAAATATTGTCAAATATGTTTTAAAATATCTCTGTAGACATTTAAAAGTAAATATGCCAATTAAATACTAAAAGCATGAGATCACAGAATGCTAATATTTATTTGGATTAGTTTTGCTTTTTTGTAGATAAGGCCACTTCTAAATTATTCCAGTGATATTTTTGCTATGCTTTACAGAAGTATATTGCTTTAAAATAGTTTATTTAAATTGTTTTTCTTAATAAATAGAAAGCAAATTATCTTTAATATAATTACTCTATTCTTAGCAACTCTAATTTGAAAATATAAATACAAAACTCAACAAATTGAGATGCTTTAGTTAAGCGCAGTTTGAAGTCAATAAAATACCAGATAAAATAGTGCTTGAATTAAATCAAAATCATCATGAAGACTGAGTTATATTAACTCATGGAGTGAGTGGTGATTATTTTAACTTCCTGATTATGTCATTAAATGTCAGCTGTGTTCCACCTCATGGTTTCCCCCTTCCTCAAATTATACAAGCTGTTTCATTTGGATTTTAAAATTTCACGTTCCAGACGTTCTTAAAGTGCATATATGGTGCTATATCTATCTATCTATCTATCTGTCTGTCTGTCTGTCTGTCTATCTACCTATTTTATTCAATGATACCTCATGGTTTCCCCCTTCCTCAAATTATACAAGCTGTTTCATTTGGATTTTAAAATTTCACTTTCCAGACGTTCTTAAAGTGCATATATGGTGCTATATCTATCTATCTATCTATCTATCTGTCTGTCTGTCTGTCTGTCTATCTACCTATTTTATTCAATGATAAGAACATTTTTACTACAGGCCACAGCTTTCAAAACAAAGACACTTTATAGCCCTCTGTAAAAATTTTTAGTATGTTTCGAGTTAGCAATGAAAATGTAGACTTTATGTAAATCAGTAAAATAGTTTATACTTTTAATTTAAAATTATTTCTAAATTGAACTGTTAATTATGTATGAAGCTTCAAACTAGTAAAGTTTAATCAGGTTTGCTAATTAATTTTTTAAAAAATATGTGGCTTAGGCATTATTGAAAATAACTTATGTTTCTCCCAGTTAACTATTACTATTATTAAAACATTTTACTTCAATGACCAAAACATTTTAGCTTCAATTATTACTGAAGTCTCTTAGAATTTATTTTTTTTCAAAATTTTGGTTACATCTTATCTTTCATAGTTTCCAAACATGAAAATAAACTTTTCAAAAACGTTTTGTTTTGCTCACTGTTTTACATCAGTTTAACATTTAATTCTATTATTTCCTTAGAAAAGAAATGTGCAGGATTTGATGGAAAAGACACCGTGAATGACCAGTAATATTTAATGACAGGATTATTTTTATTTTTTAAAATTTATTTATTATTATTATTACTATTTTTTAATATTTAAAAATATTGTTACAGAGTAGTGGGAGGGAGGGGCAGGTGGAAGGGGGGTAGGGAAGTGGAGGTGGAGGGGCAGGGCTGGCTAATGACAGAAATCTTGAGCAGTTACTTTAAATTCAAATTTATCTCTTTTTTAAAAATGAGGATTTTTAAAGGTGAATAAAGAATTGGTTAGCATTAGCTGAGTATCATAACCTTGTTGACACTAGCAGAATTAAACCTTAGCCTCCTTTAGATAGTTATTTTAAACAGTTCTACAGTAGTAATGCTTTTGAGTTTCTAAATACTTTACTGGACTTACCCCCCCCCCCAAGCATAGTAACAATAATACATTTTCAGCTCTGTTTTTAAATTAAATATTAATATCTACAGAAAAGTACATATATTATGGCTGTACATCTTGAGATATTTCATAACTGACCTGAACCTTTGATAGCCAGCTCAAAGATCAAGAAACAGAACATGATCAGTATCTCAAAAGCCTCTTTAATTCTCCTTCCTCCAAGGTTAATCACTGTCCTAATTTCTAATAACATTGATTAGTTTTGTCTGTTCTTGGACTTAATATAAATGGAATCATAATTTTTGACTCATTTCTCTCTCTCAAAATAATTTTTGTGACATTCATCCAAAGTGTGGAATGTACTTTTGATGGTTTACTCTTGCTGCTATACAGTGCCTGTTCCATTACATAAACATTGTGCTATGTGTTGGGGTTGGGGAAAGAATACAGTAGAATGCAAAGAGGGTATGAGATATCCCCTGATCATGAAAACTTAGTCTAAGTGGGGAACATACATGTGAAAACAGTTGTCTTTAAATTACAAAAGTGAGGCTTAAATTAGTAAAGTATGTTCTGTAAGTTTAAAGAAAGCAGAACATTTCTCTGGGATATCAGGATAGCTTAGGAGAAGAGGTCCTGTTAGCACTGGGCTTTAATAGCTGAATCAGGTGTTCATATAGCACTAGATACAGTGGCAAAGAAATTTGGACAGTTACTTTGAGCCTAGAATTGTATATGAATAAAGATATCGACAGAGGTGCTTAACCACAAGGAGAGGGTAAAGAGGAAAGGAGTGGAGTGGGGAGGGAGGAGGTTTCCGGAGGAAAAGTAGGAGCCAAGGTCCTGCTTACCTGGTCTAGAGGGCAGAAGGGACAGTCCACAGGGGTAGAAGAGCGATGGAGAACATGAAACCACGATGCTGAAGCTGGAGAACTTGGGGAGGACATGGTACCGGCTGCGTCAGAAAAGGAGACGCAGGCAGTAAGGAGAAGAGGTTGATTCCATCTTTTGGCTGTTTTGAATATTGCTGCAATGAACATTGGAGTGCAGCATGTACTGGGCAAAGCCAGTTCTGAACACTGAAATATGATCGACAGCTTCCACTGATGTTTCTTTGAGATACACATTTTGTACATGTGGCAAAAAATGTGGCCACAAACAATATTTAAGATTTATGGCTTCGGATGCTAAGATGGCGATGGGTCTGGAGCGGCCGTGACAGGAGACAGCGCGATCCTGAGAGCTGTGCGCTGTGATACCAGAGTATTGATTGCATTTCCAAGAGCAACAAAAGGCGAATAATTCTTTCAACAACGATTTTACATCGACAAACAAGCGGCAGCAGGTTCGAGGTTTTGGGGCCGACACAGAGGAGGACTCCTGAGAGCGCCCAAGCCCGGCTGCGGGAACGAGCGATCAGACCAGACAACAAAGGCCAGGAAAGCCAGCAAAGGACTGGGCAGAGGTGGAGT